CATTAGAATATTGACCGAATAGTCCATCTTACATTGGTGAGGACGAAAGATAACAAGTTTGATTTTTTAGCATTTAATGTTAGCTTATTTGCATTGAGCCAATCCGAGACTCTGACCAGTTCGTTATAGACCATTATTTTTTTCAAGAGATTTAAGATTTTTGTCAGCATTCAACAACTTTGTGTCATCTGCAAAAAGGTAAAACGGAAATTTCGCTGAAGAATAAAACTTTACAATCTACTTATGGTCTGGGACTCCCAGGTACATACAATACATTTCATAGTGGAAAGAAATAGCATTTTCAACATGGTGTAAGCAGGGCACAACAAAGTGCTATCTGATAATCCAGAGCCAGTAAGGCTTAAATATGGGTCAAATAGAAGTTGTCCGATAAGCAAACCACAGTGGCTTTAAGTGTGAGATTAACAGAGGGCTATAAAGTTACATGTAACTTGCAAATTGTTTTGTTCATATTTCAGTGGGGACACCTCTCAACAACACTTTATCACTCTATCATGGAAACTACCTGAAGTTTATTCCCTCAGTAGATCAGCTTGCAAAAACACTTTACCTTATTGTTGCTCAGCTCATTGCCAAGGCACAGTTTGAAAGGGCTCTGGATCATGCTAATGACCTATATAAATCATCCAGCTTCTTAAGGCATGGAATAGCTACGACAGTGAAAAGATGGAGAAGGAAATTGGATCCCTTTGTTAACATTCATCTGATTTGTTACTCCAAGGAGCTGGAAAGCTTGAGGAGGCAAAAGTACCACCAGGGGAACGACCATCACACTTGTGTGTTGTGTTAGACTGGAGAAAGCGCTCATTACTTTTTCAAGCAGAAGCAAATGTACATTCTTCACTAAAATCCTTAGTGGATAGAACTCTGAAATGTGGGACAAAATTTCAAGTGGATTGTGGGCCCAAGAATGTTGATTTTAAAACCTTAGCAAGCTTCTTTGAAACCATTTTTAGTGCACTCATGAACAAGCAAGAACAACTGATTGCAAATGGACAAGAATTTACAGTTCTCTTGGCTGAACTTGGATTTCATTATGGCAGAATTTGTAATAAGGCTAGAAACTCAACAGAAGCTTTGGCTGTGTTTGATAAACTGTTGAAAATTGCAGGAAGTGAACACCACTGCAAAAATGGACATTTTAAACTACAAATACCTTCACAAGTTTGTTGTTGCGTGTGTTTAGTCTGCAAGGCAGCTGTTTTGTTTAACTCTACTATAAAATCTCAAACTCAAGAATCTCTTCAGCTGATGTTATTTGAAAGTAACCAGCTAATCTCCCAGATCCTGAAGTGTAGTACATTATCTTCACCAATGTTAAAACTTCTTTCAGACTCCCTGGAGTATTTCAGAATTAATTTGCAACATCAAAGTAGCAAAAAGAGTAAGGAAAAATCACCCACTCTTTCATGCAAGGAACAAGGAAGGAACAGTACAAGGAACAGTACAAGTGCTGCAGTCTTACATCTCAGTCTTATCTTTGCAGTGTGAGCGGCTTAAGTCAGAGCTGCTTAAATCCAAACATGACGATATCGTGGCACAGCTGAAACAACAGGTTCTATAGACCGCAGAACGGCAAATGACAGTATTTAGTTTTGTTATTTCTTCATATCAAGATCAGTTGAAGAATGAAAAAGATGCAAAAAGTGCAATAAGGGATTCAAGGTCAGATCACAAAACATTTAATACACTTAACTACAGTGTACACACCTTATTTTAAGAAAAGGATTATGTTGTGGTTTTATTTTTCTTTGTTTTGTGGCTTGTTAATAGATCGTTTTCACTCACACAACAAAGAAATAAATAATTTTTTTCCAATTATTGGAAACCGTCTAGTGGAAGAAGCCAAGAAAATGAATTATAAAAGTTAAAGACTAATCTATAAACAATTTGTTCAAGTCTCAGGTCTTTGTGGCCCACAGTTTCTGAGTTATTTGCCAAGACGTTTCACGCACCTTTGCAGAGCTTTGTATGGAGACGCCATATTAGTGCACCGTTTTGGTGCACCAATATGGCGGCCAGAAATCAAAAAAAACATCTGGACTTCACTTTTTTTATAAAAGCTCTTTTTTCACTCGAGAACGAGAATACTTGCGCATAAAAATATCTTCTAATACTTGAAATGGTTATACTGCTGAAAATCAAGAGGAGAGACTTTTTTTCAACGAGACAGCATTCCTATTAAACGGTCTCGCTCTGCGAAAACTCGGAAGTTCAAATTGCTGTATTTTCGAAATGAAACATGCTACAGGAATGGAAACTTGTACAAAGATTTATTTGTTGTCTATCTTCAGCCTGTTGTAAAACCTCACTATTTTAACTTTGCAATTTGATGGCGTCAATGTGAATGAAAACCATCTGTAGATGAAAAAGAGTGAAAAACAAAGGGAAACAGCGTGCAAAGAAAGTAGTATCTGATAGCCCGGGGCTAGTGGATTTTGCCATTGAGCTAGTGAATTCTGTTCTTAACTTGCCTGATGGGCAAGTGAAGTATGTTGAGGAATTCATCTTACAGAAGAACTGTGAAATCAATAATATTCTGCTCATCAACAAATTTGGGGGGCTAGTTGAAATGACGTTTGGGCTAGTAAATGCTAGCTTCAGCTTGCCCGAATAGCAAGCTGTAAAAATGACTTTCTTTGCACCCTGGGAAATAAAATGTAAACCAAGGATAAATTTGAACCATAACATATACATGTAACACTGGTCAAACTTTTATTGCATATCCAGTATCCTCAACTCTTGCCAATCAGCCTAACGATTCTTGAAACAAAATTACAAACATCTCTAGAATTTGTCTTTTTTGTGTTGCACACAAATGGGGATATACGCTGTAGGCAATATCTCTCACAAGATGGCATTTTGGGGAACATGTATTGTAAGGAGTCTGGGTGTGGGAAGGTCCAAAGAGACTGAGAGAAATCTTGTAAGAATATCTATAAAGAATAGGGGAATGAACGAATGTACAGCTGTTGGAGGACCCTTACAAAGAACTACCGAGTCGAACGTTACTGGGTATCAATGTTGAAAGAGTTTACTGTACTGTTAATGTTAACACATTCTTTATTTATACTATGCAGATGTCAGATCATATCTTTAAGGAGTGTATTCCAGTAGTGGAACAAGCAAACTCTGTAATTCATTCTGCCCTTGATGATCCAGACATCCCATTGTCTCCAAACGAGCTCCGCTGGCTAGGCTGCAATGTGTACAATTTGGGCTGTGTGTCATATCAGAGAGATTGCGTTACTGAAGGAGTTCCTCTGTTGGCTATTGCTTGTGAAGAGCTGAGAGTATGGTGCTTTGCTGGCAAGACTGATGAGGAAATTCTTGCGAGGATTGTGGAGGTAATATGGCCTTAAGCCTTGTAATTTTTTTAACATACTGTGTGGCATGAAATGTTTACGGAAGTTTGCGATTTTTGTGTTTTGCGGGAACAAATTTTGCAATTAGGAGAGATTGATTTTTCTTGCTGGGAATTGATTTTTGTGATTTCAGAAAGTCCCAGACCAATCATTGTTAATATTTTCCTTTTTATTAAGTATGCACAATGGAATTTATGTACAGTGAAAAAAAGTTTCAAACAATGCTACAGTTTGTGAACCATACACTGTACGTAAAACCAGTATAACAGATTACTTTTTTTTGTCATTCTATTACAGTAACATCTGGGATGACTGATTGTTCTGATTATCGATTGGAAGAATTTAAGTTGGAAAATATTTATGGTGGAGGAATTTATTTGCAGGAAAAATGTGTGCTGGAAAAATCGCAAAAATTAGAACCCGCAAAAATTTTGTGCCACAAGGTAAAATCAATGATGTACCATTTTGATAAGCCCCAATAGTGATTATTACCAAATTTATCCTTATAATACTAGTACTCACCAATCATTGTTTTAATATTGGGTATTAAATACTTGTAATTCATTTTTTTTGCACTGTGCATAAAATACCACGTCAATGATTTTCTTTTTTTCCGAGAAAAGGAAGCAAACACTTGTGATGTTAACCCACCAGATGGGTCTTACAGTAATCTGTCCTGTCATGCCATCATTAATAAGTAATAACTGATTTCTTTTAGGTGAAGCTCCTAACAAAATTTGCACTGCTGACTGACTGTCAGCTACGAGCCAAACGGGTGGCTGGTGCACTGACAACAGCTACCACTCAGGTTCTTATAACACTTCAAACTGGTTCTGATGCAAATGTCTTAAGGCAGCAGATCAAACAATGGGCCACAGTGAAACATGAACTGGTGAAGAGTGTGCAAGATGAAAAGAAACAAGCTGAAAAATCAACGTTTGTCATGAATTTTCGTGAAAAAATTAATTTTGCCTAAAACCAGGCATGCACCATTGGTTGAGAATACATGAAGATGTCATATTTTTATTACAACTGCATGAATCCTTCAGTGAGGTGCCCTTTTCTAAGAAGTATGAGATTCTGTTAGTCCAAATACATTATGTCATATCTTACCTGTCTTTCTATTTTTCTCTGTTTACCGTAGAACCCTGTGCAGTGTTTTAGCAGAACAGAAAGATGCTGAAGATATTGACAGCAGTCAGCTTTGTTTAGTTCTTCAGGAAGAGCTTGCTTCTTACAAGGCAAAGAAGTAGGTTCCCAAAAAGACCGACATCACAAGGTTTCTGGACCTGTTGCAGAAACAGGAAAGAGTTCCTCATTTTAATTGTCCATTTAGCTCTTTCATTACCGTACAATTGTGTATGAAACAGATCCTGGAAAGAAATATTACAGTCAAACCTGCAAAACCGTGAACACCAGAAATATTTCTGGAATGCTATTGTCTTGCAAGAGAAAAGCCAATCATGCGTGAGAAAACTAAACCACAAGCAAGAACGTTAGTTAGTTTGTGGTTTTGTGGCCAGTTCGCATGTCCTGATCTTTGCTGTGATTGGTCATAACACAATAAACATTCTTGAGATATTTCAAGTCTTCACGGTTTTCCCGGTCGCACTGTAAGCTCATGTGAAAGTACAGTGTACATACAGTGTATTTATTATTGTCAGGACTGTAACTAAGAAACAGGGACCAGGGATTTCTGCCGGCGACTGTGAGCGTGAGCCCCAACTACTCTCATAGGAAACAAAAGTAAAATACATTATGTAGAACCAAAAGAACTTCCTCGCTGTACAATTCCCCTCCTACTAATTACATTTAGTAAAATCTAACTAGGGGTCTATTCTTAATGCTGCATTCTGATTGGTTGAGCTACTACTAGGCTATATGTTATAGCCCACTAGTAGCGAAAAGCACGGGCTTTTTGGTGGCAAAAAAGGATTGAAGTCTAGCTTTCACTAGCTAAATTTTTTTACTCTCGCAATTTTTGACCAACTAGTTGGATTTTACTAAAACAATTATTCCTCTCGCCCTCATGGCCTCTGAGTTCATAGCCCATTCGGCCGTCAGCCTCATGGGCTATGGACTCAGAGGAATAATTGTTAAATACCCAACAACTTTACAGGTATGCTGATGATGACGTTGATAAAAAAGATCTCTTTTAATTCATATACTGTACTCAGTCTCCCAAAATTGTTTTGTCCTTTATACATGTGTATTCAATTGTCATTTGAGGGGTTCATTTGAACCCAGGAGTCACTTCATAAGTAGGTACAATATGATTGTCAGGGTGAGTGTTGTCCTGAATATAATAGGACTGTTTGCTGACTCCGACAAAGATGATCCTGGGTCATCCTTTATCCCAATTCTGTTTTGAATCACTCTGGCCAATTGATATTGTACACCATTAAGTGGTCTATTTTTTCTCATATTTCTAGTTATGACACCACGATGGAGCAACTTTCTGTCATCAAACAACTTATGGAGCTGTACATTATCCAAGATGATGAGTTTCATTATGGTTCAGTGATGCTTGAGTTTGGTGTGGCACTGCGTGACCTCGGAGACAAAGATCTTGAGGAGGAGAAGTGAGTCTACTGCTTATGTGTCTTTTGGTTTAGTATGTGGCATTTTGTCTTACATTTATGTACATGTAAATGACTTTTAGAGTAGCAAAAATATATCAAACTTAAAAATGCTCTTACTTGATCACAGAGTGTGACTTGTGGTAAAGGAAAAGGGACATTCAACCAGCTGTTTTGTTATAATGTCATCCAGGGTTATGGCCTTTAAAATTAGAAGCCAGTCACTGTTAAGTATCAAGTGGATTGTGGGCCAAAGAATGTTGATTTTAAATCCTTAGCAAGCTTCTTTGAAACCATTTTTAGTGCACTTACGAACAAGCAAGAACAACTGATTGTAAATGGAAGAGAATTTACAGTACTCTTAGCTGAACTTGGATTTCATTATGGCAGGATTTGTAATAAGGCTGGAAACTCAACAGAAGCTTTGGCTGTGTTTGATAATCTGTTGAAATTGCAGGAAGTGAAAACCATTGAAAAAATGGACATTTTAAACTACAAATACCTTCACAGGTTTGTTGTTGTGTGTGTTTAGTCTGGAAAGCAGCTATTTGGTTGAACTCTACTATAAAATCTCAAACTCAAGAATCTCTTCTGCAGATGTTACTTGAAAGTAACCGGCTATTCTCTCAGGTGCCGAATGATTTGCAAGAAAAGGAAGAAAGATTGAAACAAAAAGCAAGGGAAATTAACAATGCAACCACAGAAGCCAAGCGGGTTACTGCCCAACTACAGCTAATGGCAGGACAGCTAGGCCGCTTGGCCAGCCACATTTTGGCAGAGGCCAAAAAGTAAAAAGATATAAGAAAGAAATTAATACACCAGCATGAATTATGTGTAAATTTATTGTACAAATCGTTTTTCCATTACAAATCGTTTTTTCGGTAATAAAATAGTATACAAAGTTCTTAGTAGTTGTGGCTTAAGTCGGACCTGTAATGACATATATAGCATTACTAAACATATTTCTCGAATCCTGTATGATCTTTTCCTTTTCCACCGTATCCACACCTATGCCTCCATCCTCCGCTTTCCTATACTACACCACTATCTTTGTGAAATCTATCACCCCATACTGGATCTTTACAGGCTTCCAATTGGCGGGCACCCCCTCCACCTTACACAGCAAGCATTCCTCACCGCCATGCACTGGTATATGTCCTCACCATCCACAGAGTTTTCCCGCTCAAGGAAGCACTTTATTTTGAAACCTGTCAGATAAAATTAAATTAAATAAAAGAGATTAATAGATATACAAAAATCCAGGTATAGAAAATAAATAAATATAGACAATATAACCCCGAATTACATGTTAACATCTCTACAAATATAGACATTATTATCACTAAAATCCCATATCGCGTATTCAGCATCTCTTAGATCTGGTATTATAATGTTTTCCACAACAACTGCCTAAACTGCACCACAAACTTATCCCGCCCCCCTCCCTCCCCCACTAGCAAGAAAAATATACAGCCCTTTATTTTTACAACTTTAAAACTTCAGATGCATTAACAAAATAATTTAAATACAAATTTCTCTTCTGGAGTCAGTAACTAAATGAAAACCTATCAACCTATATACAAATGTCTATTCTTGAACCAATAACTAAATGAGAATTTAATCCGCATACCGGCTCGCCTGTTAAAAGATTCTGCGGACATTGTAGCTAAGCCACCGCATACCGGCTCGCCTGTTAAAAGATTCTGCGGACATTGTAGCTAAGCCTGTGGCGTTTATTATCAACACCTCGTTACGTTCTACCCAAGTTCCCAGTGATTGGAAATCCGCACGGGTCATTCCACTCTTTAAAAAGGGAAAGGCTGATGAGATGGACAATTATCGCCCGATTTCCATTTTACCTCTTCTATCTAAGGTTTTAGAACGGGCTGTACATATCCAACTCTACAAATATCTCCAGCAAAACAAGATCTTGAGCCCTTATCAGTGCGGGTTTCGGAAGTGTCACTCGACAGAATTCGCTGCTCTTAGTTTTTCTGATAATATTCGTAGGAACATGGACCAAGGTCAATTAACTGGTGCTGTGTTTATTGACCTTCGCAAAGCTTTCGACACTGTGGATCATGCGGTACTTCTGGACAAGCTTTCCAATTTGGGGATTTTGGATAAAGAGCATGGCTGGTTTACGGATTACCTGTCGAACCGCACCTAAGTTGTGGAGTTTCAAGAGGTGACTTCTGCTTCGGAAGCCGACTCTACTGGTGTGCCTCAGGGCTCTATCCTCGGACCATTATTGTTTATTCTACACATTAATGATTTACCTGAAGTAGTGTCCGATTGCAATATTCTGATGTACGCTGATGACACTGTTTTATACTGTTCATCCTCTCAAGCCTCTGTCATTCAAGACAAGCTGAACGCAGAACTGTCTAAGATTGATCACTGGCTTTCTTTTAATAGTCTGTTTGTTAATGTAACAAAAACCGAAGCTATGCTTTTCGGAACCGCCCCTAGATTATCTGCTGTTAACTCTTTTTCTATTACTTTAAATAACAATGTAATTAAGCGGGTTTTTCACTTCACTTATCTAGGTATAGTTTTTGATGACCGCCTTAGCTGGAACGAGCAAATAAAGTACCTAATTTCGAAGGCGGGAAAACGCGTAGGAATGCTCGGCAGGCTTCGCAGAAGCCTCACTAGAGAGAGTGCAAATGTAGTGTATTGTAGTCTCATTAGGCCAATTTTAGAATACTGTGTAAGTGTGTGGGGCTGTTGCGGGGAAGGTCGTAAACAAGACCTTGAAACCCTCCAAAACCGGGCTGCTAGGATAGTGGCTTGTACTGTGCGCAGCAAGCAGGCATTGGACGTTCTGAAATGGCCCACCTTGGAGGAGCGCCGACGTCTATCTGTTTTTAAACTCGTTAAGAAATGCCTGCAAGGTCAATGTCCCCAGTATTTTAAACAATATTTTAAACGTAATACAATCCATGCGCGCGCTACTAGACAAAGCAACCTCTTACATCCGCCTGCTGTGAGAACTGAAATTGCAAAAAGATCCTTCTATTATTATGGTTGCACTCTTTTTAACGAATTATCTTATTGATATTCCGTGTTTTATATCTTTTAATCTTTTAATTGAAAATAGTTTTCTATTTATATTATTACCTGTATTAGTGTAATGTTTATATGTTCAGTGTGGTTTTTGTGCGTTGTTGCTCAGGGCTCCGATTGATAACAGACAGCTTTTTGCGTCTGAAGGGGCTACTCTGAGCGGTATAAATTAATAAAGCTTCTTCTTCTTCTTCTTCTTCTAATCTATCTGCAATAAGCCATCTGCAATAAACCATAATAATGACTGAACGTTGTAGAATATATTAGTATAGACAGTACAACAAAAAAGCTAAATTAATGGACCACCTATAGTCATGGGGTAACTACGACTTTACCAAGACACGCCTTCTGAGATTTTGCCACAAAGCTGCGTTGGCTGGAGAATGAAACTAAGCAAGCAGGAGGATGAGGCAACCAAAAAGATTTCTAAGGATGAACAATGTCGCTTGGCATATCTGTCAATAGCGTAGAGTCCGAGTATGTTAAAATAAAAAATATGTTGTAATAAAACCGACACCCCACATTCCCAGTCCCAGCAGACCCCCTTCCTTGACATTAACTAATAAACAAACATTAATGCTTGTGTCAGTTTCTGAACTCATGTAGTTGTTATTGAACTATATTGTCTTTCTTGAACTTTGGTGTCTTTGTTTAACTACACAGTGTTGAAAACTGAATTTTAACTGAATTTTAATAATGCTTATGTCATTTTCTGAACTCGTGTAGTTGTTATTGAACTTTGTTGTCGTTCTTGAACTAGAGTGTCTTTATTGAACTACAAAAAAATAAACTGCAAAAAGGGTGCCATTTCATGGAAATGTCTCAACACTTTTGTCGGTCATTGTCTGAATGCAAAATTTTGTTACGGCACACATGTTGAGCATTGTGTGACAATGATATTATTAACTCAAATTCAGTAAAGCGGAGTCATGTTTTAGTTTAAATTATTGCTTGTGGGAGTGACATTGACTTAATTACGTCCAAATTATAGCTCTAATACGAGTTACCTACGATTGTCAGAATTGACGGCGATATGCTTTTTAAGGGAAAAATTAACGCTAGAACTCGCGCGTATGTACGACTTTTCGTATAATTCAAGGGTATTAGTACTAAAAAATTTAGATGAAGTGAATATTTCAGGTTCTTCACTTTTTCGGATTGTACTAGCAGAAAAAACTAACGGGCAGAGTAAAGATCGATTAGCAGGAAGAAAGTCACTGGGCGGCCACGGAAATTGATATTCAGTGTTTTATCTTTGGAATTGGCTGCTCTAAAAAATAAAAGAAGTTTCCAAATTGCTAGAAAAGGACAGTGGTGAGCACTAGCCAAAAAGAGTCCTGCGGCTACACAGGGATACTTAAAATCCCGAGTTGAAGTCACCGGAAGTGAGTATGTTCACTCGTTGCCCTAGCACCTCCGGGTGAAGGGAATCTTAAAGTTTCTCAACCAATTTATGCGCCCTGATACGGTCACTGTGAATTCCGCAAGAAATGCGTAAATCTTATTCCGCTTGGCTGATTTAGCGTTAAAAATGGCGGCGTCGGTTTAGTCAGATCTTGTTAGTTGACCGATTCTGAGCAAGATAAATCCATAAAGTCAGATCTAATAAGATATAACCGGAAAAAAGGGATAAAAGCTGGACTCTATAAGCTAGCAAGGTAGGAAAATTAGGGTTGTTTGTCGCACTTTGAAGTTAACAAATAACTTCCGTTCTTGTATAAATTCAAGTAGTGTTCCTCAAGTTATATTTGCATAAGGCATTTACAACGTTAAGGTGTAGGATTCAGGTCGTTTCATTTCAAACTTGCAGTTTGAGTTGTTTCTATACAAAGACAAGTCGTTTGGACGCAAACTGGCAGTCGTTTTAACACTATCATGAAAGGGATAACCAAGGCCCACCAGGCCGTGCTCAGCAATGCAGAACTTGCCTGTCTTGTCTGCCATTTCGTTTGTAAAAGTTTTAGCGTCTACTACTTCCACGACGGTTGAAGTTGGTTTATTCCTAACACATTACTGATTTTACATCTAATACTTGTAGATTCAGTTATAAACAATGGCTTTGGCTGCCTCGTTTTGTTGTATACAGGTATATAAATGTGTGTGCACTAGTGCGAAGAAATATAAACCTACGTTTAGCATTTATTGCAAGTTGCAAATCATGCTTCTACATGCATGGCGATCCATCTGAAAGATTAATAGAAGAAATTCAAAGTTGATCGGTTCCCGAATCTGCCGTGCATAAAGATCAATTTTCTTAACTCACATCCAAGTTCAGTTTTTCAGCTGCAGTTACTTTGTTGTTAATTATATAAATGCCTAATACCTGTAACTGAATGCGACGCCAGATTTTACATTTGTTTCTAATTTAGTAACTTTATCAAGCAAGACTTTATCTTTCCTTTTTCTGTACATTTACTAAATTTTTGCGGCTTTCGTTGTTGCCTTGGTATGAGAAAAGACCGCAGATTGCAAAATTATATCATTCAGTAGAATGATTTGGAGCGTTTAAGTTTTGATGCACATTTCTAACAGGTTTGCGGAACGGTCACCGCGTTTCCGCCTGATACACCTATGTTGACTTCTTTGCACAGTGAGGTGATTTACAAAGATGCATGCAAAAAGTACGGCACTCTAAATCGGCACGGAATCAATTTACTCTTGTTGTAGTTCCGGTATGGTACCATGAGGAGGCAGCGTGGTTGAGAAGTCAGCTCTTCGGACTCGCAGTCCGGCGATTCCAGCCCTGACCACAAGCTGGGTGTGTTTCTCGGTCGTCCTGAGTTTAAAGTTGCCATGCTTGAAAATACACAACTGGTTGCCTCCTGCCAGCTCCCGTTAGGTTATATTTGTGTTGTTTGCTTGAAATTATTTGAGAGCAGCTATGAATTTTTTTCCATGTTCTCATTAATAGTCAGTAAGCACCACAATTATGTGAGCCACACACAACCAACAATCCCTTGATTCAATTTGACAAGACTAGAGCTCAAGGTGTCAGTTTTTCGACCTTTTTACGGAGGTAATTTGGCTATTTCCAACTGAGAATAAAAACGTAAAATTTTTATGTTCCCCAGCAGAGTATTACAGTACTGCAAAACCTATTCACGACTCATTCTTGATTTGTTAATTTCGTTAATTAAAAATAAAAATAATCATTGTTAACTTAAACTCTCTTCATACAGTGGAAGTAAATCTGAAAAGAAGTTTGTCTCTCAGTCCGATCCATGATGACATAAATAAAATTAATCTGAATACTTATAAAATAGCCAGTTGTATAGGTCCAGTAGATGTGATAATACAGTTTATTTTGATAACAGTCGCGGAAACGGGATGTTGGGATGTTAGGTTCTTTTTAGTTAAAAACATATGTCTTATAGAAGAATAGCTTGGATAATATAGTAAAAAGAAAGTTTCATTTTCAATTTTTCACAGTTACGGAGTCAACATAGCAGTACATCACGGAGGATCTGCATCCTCCCTCACTGAGCCATGGCTGCATCTTCTGGCCAACTCCAAAACGTGAAAGAAACAAGGAAAGTCAGCAGTCCGACTTCTCACGAGGTTTTATGTTTTCACTTGTTTTATAAAAGCTTTTAAATCCGTCTAAAGCCTCGACTGAAGACAAGAATCTTCAAAAGTAAGGGGCAGATTCATGGGGTACAAAACAACTCAAATTTATCGATCATGGAAGGTTTCCTGGATTGAAACAAGAAACTGTTCCAAGGTTTTTACGCATAGACTGAGTTTGTTTGTTTGTTTGTTTGTTTTCAAACGCATACCTCTTTGATTATTTTGTCACCGACGTGAACTAAATAAAGGAAGCATGTATTTTTAATATCTTTTGCTGTAATGCTTAAGGTGACTCGACCCAGTTTTTTTGGGGGGGTACCATCCTACTTTGAAGCTCTCTGGTATCCCCACCTTTACTTTTATCGTAAGTCTAACACATAGAATAGATAACATATAGATCAATCTACAATATAACATAAAATTTTTGGCGATCGGAGTAAATGTCACGTGGTTATAATGCCACGCCCCTTTGAGGTCTGAGTCGAAAATCTGCTGTTACCAGCATTTTTTCGTGAAAATCTCTCTGCTACACATAGTGCGCATTAGTGCCTCGCGCTGAACAGAGTTTCACCAAAATCGCAAAGACCCAATTCGAGAAATTCAGCGGTTTCCAAATTTAGGTCATAATTTATGCGAAAATGGTAAGCAAACTTTACACGGATTATATCTTATAAACTATGAGACTCATTTTGCTGACTTGCAAGGACCCATCTGTTATAACGATGCCCAAAATAAGGAGATGAATCTCATAGTTTATTATATATAATCCGTGTAAAGTTTGCTTATCATTTTCGCATAAATTATGACCTAAATTTGGAAACCGCTGAATTTCTCGAATTGGGTCTTTGCGATTTTGGTGAAACTCTGTTCAGCGCGAGGCACTAATGCGCACTATGTGTAGCAGAGAGATTTTCACGAAAAAATGCCGGTAACAGCAGATTTTCGACTCAGACCTCAAAGGGGCGTGGCATTATAACCACGTGACATTTACTCCGATCGCCAAAAATTTTATGTTATATTGTAGATTGATCTATATGTTATCCATTCTATGTGTTAGACTTACGATAAAAGTAAAGGTGAAGATACCAGAGAGCTTCAAAGTAGGATGGTGCCCCCCCAAAAAAACTGGGTCGAGTCACCTTAACTTGATTTGTAAGCTTTCACTTTCAGTAAACCTTAGTATGCAAATTTGTGGCAACTTTTTCCCCCCAAAAAACTTCAGTACGAAAGGGTTATATAAATAACCCATAGCTTTGGCTGCATCTTTACTTAGGCAAAATATTGCTCGGGAGTTTTGCGTGTGACCTCAATTTATTGCAGGGAACAGTTCGGCCATGCCGTGCTTCGTTTTGGTCAGTGAAAGGCTGACAGGACAAGTGGACGTTGTTTGCGAAACAGAATTTACCACGGGAATTTAAAAAGAAAACATGCAGTTCTAAATTCTGCCTTTTGAAACGATTAAAACAGGAAATTAACGCGTATTAACTTTCTGCACTAATTGCTACTGTCTGTTTGTTTGTTTAATAATAATAGCATGTTTAAACAGGAGGACCATTTCAGTTATAAAAACTGCTATCTATATGGGTCCTGTATAAAAAAAATGAATAAATAGATAAAAACTTAATTATATACGAAACTGGGATACATTGCATAATTATAGAAAAAAGGTAGCCTCCTTATGAACAAAACTACATGCAATCATTAAAAAGGGTAGCCCCCTTATGAAAAAGGCCCTCTTAGTCAACTCGACATTGACTAAACTTTTTTGAAGTACAACTCGAAACTCACCAAGGCCGCTTTTTATGGGTCTCCTGACAGTTAACAATTTAAAACTCTCCAGCATTTTCCAGTGGCTTGTCGTTCTCGTTATTTTCATTTTTTCTTTCAGACTAGCTCTGCTAAAACCGCAGATGAAAACATTCCACAGAAAGCAACTGGACAGAGTGCGTCATCGTATACCAGCAGATCCTTGAACGTTACTCTTCTTGGTGATGAATGGGGTTCATCTGCTGGTGGGTTGTCAACCATAAACAGAGAGCTTGCTATTCACCTTTCACAACAGCCAGGAGTAAATGTATCTCTATTGTGTCCAGAAAAAGCTTGCAGCACTGAAGAAATAAGAGAAGCAGATGGCTATGGAATCACCATTGTTCAGGCGAAAGAACGAGCGGCATATGATCGTCTTGATTGGTTGAGCATCCCACCCCCGGACCACGTCATGGACATCGCTGTTGGCCATGGTGTTAAACTGGGTCGGCAAGTACAGTTCATCAGAGAATCTGCTCGATTTCCAAATTGCAAGTGGGTACAAGTGGTGCACACTGCTCCAGAGGACCTTAGCAGATACAAATGCTACACTGATCCCATTTCAAAAGGTGAAACAAAACACGAATCAGAAGTTCAACTTTGCAAACTTGCTGATCTTGTTGTACCCGTGGGGCCCAGACTGAAAGAAGCATACTCTTCATATTTACAGCGATGTAAAACAGATCAAGACGTTTTGTCCATTACTCCAGGTCTTTTTCAAAGGGAGTTTGGGGATTTAGTAGCAAAACAAGATCCTAATGAGGATGGCGAATTCAAAGTGTTGTTATTTGGTCGTGGGGATGATGAGGACTTTGAACTCAAAGGATACAACATTGCTGCCAAGGCATTTACTGATCAACAGCTAAAAAGCAAACGTTATCATCTAATCTTTGTCGGAGCACCTGAAGGAAAGCAAGAAGAAGTGAGAGACAAACTTCTTCAGGGTGGTATTGCAGATGCACAGTTGACTGTTAGAAAATTTATACAAAGTAGAGACAGACTGAAAGATTTGTTTTGCGAAGCTGACCTTACCATCATGCCTTCAAAATCAGAGGGATTTGGTCTTGTTGCACTTGAGGCCCTGTCTGCAGGTTTACCCATTCTTGTTGGCAGTAGGTCAGGATTTGCCAAAGCACTAGAAAATGTTCCGATTGGTAATACATGCATCGTGAATTCAGATGATCCTGCAAAATGGGCAGAGGCAATTGAAGGTGTTTGTGTTAGGCATCAAGTGCGACTCAAAGAGGTTAAAGCACTAAAAACATGTTATGGAGAAATGTACAGTTGGAAGGAACAATGCAAAGCCCTTGTGGAGAGAATGTGGAAAATGGTCCATGGTAAGAGTTGTTGCTTTGAAACTCATGTATAAAATAATATGATTTATACTATTTTGTACATGTTAGTTTGACTTTTGCCTGTGTGTTCTGAACATTATTGCGATTGGCCACTTAGGCACAATCAATTTCAGATGTTCATGGTTTTCTTGTCTCAACACTTATTAATAAACCTAGTGTTTTTGTATTTTGGTAATTTGGTATTTTAGAACTTACTGTTGATGTAACTTAGTATTTCATAGGGCCATAAACTGTAAGTTTAATAAGTTATGTATGTTACGGGTCAAATTAGTTCCCAGGTTAAATATTTTTAACCTAGGTTGATTCTTGATTTCCTTTGTCTACTAGGGCTAGAGGACAAAGGAAATTGAGAATCAACCCAGGTTAAATCAAAATTGACCTGGGATCAAATTTGACCTGTAACATGTACGTGAATGTTCTATCATGAAAAGTATGGCTGAAGTGTAATTCAAATTAGGCAGTCCAAATGGACAGGGCAATGATATGCAATCCAAAAGCACTTGCTATTCCAGAACATCTGGTGAATCTTTTGTAGTGAATAGGATTCCTTAAAACAACTCTATTAACTTTCCCTCACAATGAAAATATTTTTATAACCAACCAACAGGGTCTTCCGAAAATGACAACAAGCCCAGAAATGAAGGGCCACTGGTTGAAGAAACTTCCCGTGCTGAAAAGAGAGCTCATTTTGCAGCAGGAAGTCAGACTAAAAGTAGCTGTAAGCATATTCCAGGTATGGGAAAACATTATTTGTTTTCTTTTGCTTCTGGCCTCTGTTATGAGCAAAGGGTGGGGTAAGAGGCCCACTTAAAAGTGTTCACCGTTTAATTTGTAGCAGGGAAAAACCATACTGCATGCCCACTGAACTGAGCTGAACTGAACAACTTTATTTATACGTGTCACATCTTCTAAACTGGCTACACGTAGCTTCATAACCGGGGAAACCTGTGCTAACCTGGATACTGACGCACTGTAATGTTACGGTAAATCATCTTTCTTGGTTTTCACCAATGTGACCGGCCGCTTGACAACGGTTGCTATCCGCTATGTTGGTGTCCCTCAAACGTAATCAAAACCAGTTCGAAGAGATGTAGATATAGTTGTTTGCATCGTTGTTGGTTGTTGTAGAAAAAGTGAGAAGAAAAAAACCCAAAGATTTTTTCGTATTCCATCATTTGTCAAAAACAAGGGCGAGGAATTCGAAGAAACCACTACAAAGAGGAGAAATCTCTGGATTTCGGCAGGAAGTCGAGACGGTGACCAGGAGACATGGTCATGGCGGATAACGGTTAAATCGTCGCAGAGACAGTTGACACGAAGTCGTTTCGATACAATTTCATTTAGTTGAGTTGTAAATAGTTTCACAAACATGGCGTAAAGAAGGAGGAATATTCACCCAAAATGTTTTTCTAATTCACGCTCATTCTATACTTGTCATACTTGAGATGACCGAATTTTTTTGGCAATTTCAATGCTTGAGTTTGTATCAAAACGACCGGTTTCCGCAGAGAGTGTTGGCTTTAAGCAGGCTAAGCTGGTAATTCCAGCCTTCACAAAAGGGAAGTGACATTTGCATCGAGTTGACAAAAAACCAGAGGGATAGCAAGTGTTCAAAACTATGGGTTTGCTGTGGCACAGGTATATCATTTTAGAGGGAGTAATTCCAACAGATTTTCTTGCTTCAAACCGAAATGGATCCCCTGGTACACAGATCCTGATGATTGATCGTATTGTGAGGGTATGCTCTGCAATTGTCAGTTTATTCCCACCAAATAGTTGTACTTTTTCAGTTGCTTTTGACTAGATCTGTTGTATTAAGTCTCAGAAAATATACATGCTCCTTCAAAGAGTCAAAGATGGGTTTTGATTTTTTTTTACCATAGATATGAGCGCATATTTTCTTTGGCCTGAAATTTTGTCTTTAAATTGCCATCCCACCTGTAATTTCAAATGACAGCCTTAGTGTTAGGAGAATGGATACTTTCTCGGTCTTTCATTTCCAGTGGCATGCTTTTGAAGAAAGCAAAGGAGGATTTTCTAGTCTTGTGCTGAAGGGTTTTCGTTGGGAAACCCTCACTGTCACAAATTGTTTCTTCCTGAGTCTTGTGATACATAAAGGTGATTCTATTTCCCCGGGAAAATACCTAGGAGACAGGAAAAAGTTATAGTCATTTAAAAAAGTAGTCTTTGGGAGAGTGCATGTGCCCAGCTACAGCTAAATAACTACTCCTCATAACAGATAAATACTCCTCATAACAGAGACAAAAATAGATGCTACCTTTAGCAATAGTCATTTTAATGTGGAAGGATTTCGTATGTATCGTGTCGATAGAAATGCTCAAGGTGGTGGGCTGATGATCTTCATAAGGAATGACATCTGTCATTACACGTTTCAATAACGACATGTCAAGTTTTCGCACCGAATCCATGTTATTGAAAGTCAAAATAAATAAATCTTCGTTTTCTATCGTCGGCATCTACAGACCTCCGAATATCCCAAAAGCCAGTGGAAACTTGAACTTAGTGCTATCTTTGAAGCTGCAACAACGATTTCAAATGACAGTATCTTCTTGGTTGACTTCAACTATGATGTGATGGAACCAAACAGGCCTCCCATGGATGGAGGGAATTTGTGTGATTTATCGGACATTTATAACCTAACGAACCTAATCACATCACCAACTAGAACGACAGAAATAACAACAACAATGTCGATCTCATTCTTGGCGTGGTTGATGTCTAAATCAATGACCACTCCCTCGTATACACAATTTTAAAACTCTCCGCACCCAGATTTCGATCTCGAAAAATTTGCGTGAGACGATTTAAAGTTTGACAGCGATGCTTTCCTACAAGATTTGCATAATGCGTCTTTCAATGTAATGGAATTTTTCCATGATGTAAACGATAAATTATTTGCATTTGAATCGCTGTATTTAGATATTATGGGCACGCACCTCTAAAGCAATTCCATGTGAGAGGCAATCAAGTTCCGTTTATGAAGGAACTTTGGCGCAAAGCCATTCAGCATAGAAACAAGCTGTGGACAAAGTTCACTCATGATCGCACTGATGCTCATTAAGCCCTTAACAAAAAAAAGAGGAATAAATGTACTTTGCTGAGACGAAAGGCAGCCAAGGCTTATTTTCTCAATAAACCAGAAACAGCAAACTCAAATGATTTTTCGAATATTTATCGTCCGTTTCTTCACCCAAAGATAAACTAGAGCTTTTGAATAAACGGATTTTGAGATTTATATTTAATGATCTAAATTCTAGTTATGACGAGTTGCTAAAGAACGCTAAGACAACATCTTTGTACAGTGGAAGAAATCACAAAATGGTTATTGTAATGTTTAAGAGCTTATTTGTCTCTGCGTATCCTAATTCTCTTAAGGAACTGTTCTCTCTTCGCGTCTGCAAGTATTTTTTTTAAGAGGGAATAATGTACCAAGCTTACCCGAACCTAGGACAACCACTTATGGACTCGAGTCCATCAAGTACGAAGCTGCAAAGCTCTGGAACTCACTTACAGACGACATGAGACTAACAATATCAATGGAAGACTTTAAAAAGTCATTAATCACTGAGTGCATGGAACTCGCAAAGTGAAAGTCACAATTTTGGTATCTGAATGGGTATCGAGAAATAGGGGGCTTTCCACCATAAACAGAGAATCAGCCATTCACTTAGCCAAGTTCCCTGAAGTGGAAACCACTTTCTTTTTTACCAAAATGTAGCCAAAAGGAAAGAAAGATAACCCTGGAACGCAAAGCAAAGATCGTGCAGGCGACGCTTCTGCCTTCCTTTGAACAACTGGATTGGCTTTGCTTTCCGCCGAAAAATTTGCAAATCGACATTATCGTAAGTCATGGAGTTAAACTCGGTAAACAAGCACAAGCTCATTAAAGACCGTAAAACGTTCAAATGGGTTCACACAGACCCTGAGGAACTTGGGATGCTTAAAAACTATTCCAGCTCAATTCCAAAGGGACCGAGACCTAAGTAGAACTGTGTGAAACGGCTGACCATGTTGTAGGAGTGGTACCCAATTTCAGCGAGGCCTTTCGCTCGTATCTTTGTGGTTGTAGTAAAGATGGTAACGTCTTTGACCTCACTCCTGGGGTATTTGTAGAGTCTGAGACTGTAAAGCAAGTCAACTCAAGCAATAGTCAACATTGTAGAGTCCTGATATTTGGTCGTGGAGATGTAGAAGACTTCAAATTAAAGGGATCTGATATCGCTGGGAAAGCGATTGCTGCGTTACAAGATACTCGTCTTGTGTTTGTTGGGGCACCGCATAGAAAACACGAAGAAATAGCAAATCGGTTAATCGAATGTGGTGTTCCTGCTAGTCGACTGAGAGTAAGAGGATTTGTTCAAGACCGAGAAAGTTTGAAGCGCTTATTTCAAGAAGTGGATCTTGTAGTCATGCCTTCGAGAACAGAGGGCTTTGGATTAACAGGATTCGAGGCAATGTTAGCTGGTCTCCCTGTGTTCGTCAGTCGTAACTCTGGTTTTGGAGAAGCATTGTGCAGTGCAGCTTTTGGTTCAACATTTGTATTGAGTCAGAGGACCCCGCGGTGTGGACCGTAGCCATCCAGAATATCTGGTCTAAGGACAGGAAATGTCGACTTGAGGAAGCGGTGACCTTGCGTGATTCCTATGGCAGGAAATACAACTGAGCCAAACAGATAAAAGAGTTAGTTGACCAGATGATCAGCCTGGCTCATGGTAGCAATGTCAATTATTCTTCAGTGGCACATTATTAGGAAACAATAGTAATACAAACATAATTCCCCCAACAGCATGTTTTCTCCGTTTTCGTTTAACGGAAGATTCTCTAAAGGCCCGGAGCTCCTTAGAAACAAAGTGCAACGCTTCTCAGAGGATGAAAGGCATGAGAGAGGACCATGAAGGTATCTTTGTAGACAGCACGCGTAGAAATCATTTCTGTCTATTTTCAACCAAGTGGGAGAGACGTGGGAGGCGCGCAAGAGCGAGCAAAAAATAGGGACGGGTAGAGAAATAAAACGGCGGCCGCTGAGCTTCTGTCCCAGGAATAGACAACCTAATATATTATGCCCAATAAATGTCCGCCCCGGAGAGGAATGGGCACACCTGGAATTGACCAAGCCTCAAGTCTCAAAGAGAATATAATTGTAACCAAAGCTTGTTTTTGCAGAGCCTTCTATAGAAATTGACAACAACCAAACAACAAAGTCTTATCACGACGAGCAGCTGGTTTCAGAAACGTCCCTTAGTAGTGACTGTGAAATGAAAGCTGAAGCTGCATCAGGAAATCCGACTAAGATATCCACGAATACAGACTCTCAGTCTCATAATAGCCGTAAGCGTAAAATGTCAGAATTCTCTTGTAATCCAGGTATGCAAAAATATGAGTTGTTTCTCTTGCTATAGACCTTGTTACGGTTTTCGACGCCATCTTGACGAGTAGGCAAACGTGGGAGAAATTACAGTGTTTGTATGAGAATCCAATGTCGATTAAATTCCTTTAAACGGCTGTTCTGAAAAAAATTTCAGTTGTAAACTTAAGCTACAAAGCAAAGGATTATCCTAAATTTTTTGGGAGTGTACCTATGCTTAAATTTCTCTAGAGGCTTGCTTTAGATGTTCCATATATTTGTCCTACAGACAAACCATCCACAAGCATCTGTTAGAAGACATTCCCTTCACAACTCAATAAATACAGTACCACAAGTGAAGAGTAAAACAATATGTTTTTCGTCTCTCACCCATATTTTCGACCGTGTTAAACGGCCTTCATCAGGGTCCTACAGACAAATGTAAAGAAAATTTTAAAAAGTGGTTCTAGGTCTTCTTGCTCATGTAACGCCCTCGATTTTTTTCAGTAGCATCCTTAGGAGTGAAGCTTTAGTTTACAATTCATATTTTTTTCAGAACAGCCGTTCTACGGAAATTATTCCACATTAGATTCTCATACAAACACTGTCATTTCTCACGCGCTTGCCAACTTTTTTAAAACAGTTTTTATTGAATTAAAAACACGTTTTACAATGTTATTTGCCTACTCGTCAAGAGATGGCGTCGAAAACCGTGACAAGGTCTATTGCTCACAAGTACACTACTATATCTAAAGGGGGGAAGTGATTGTTAGATTATTCAAAGGTACTTTTTCCTACAGGACTTGTTACCGTTTACGCTCATACTATACTAGTGTATTATTGATAATAGTAAAACTTATTCGTGCCGATATCAATAGTCTCTTAATAGTCGCCATTTTCATCAGCGGTTATAAAAAAAAAAGAATTTGAATAAATGATATGTGAATAATAATTAATATATAAAAAATTAAGATGTATCGAACACTTAAATCATATAAATTACTTTGGGTACTTTAACTGTGCAAACGGCATAAAACCTACTAAAAACGAGTAAAAAATTACATCAAATTACATGCATCGTAAGAGCTTTCTGGAATGAAATGTCTTGAGTGCCTTCTTAAAAATGACAACTGAGGGGCTTCTCCATATCGCAGAAAGAAACAAATTCCAAAGTTTGGGTGCAGCAAAAGCAAAAGAGCGATCTCCTAATGTGGTTTGAGTCCTGTCTCCACCATACCAGTAAAACGTATCTTAGTGGCAAATATTTTCAAAAATATGTGCGAACAGGTTCTGCAATATCTTTCATCGAATTGCTATAAATGTTAACGTTCCATTGACATTCAAGTATGTAGCTAATATTGTGAATCTGTGATAACGCCCTAACCAAGTTGCCTTGTGGAGGCTTGGATGAGGTTTTTAAACCTCTTTGCTATGGTTGAGGTTCCTGAGTAGACATCCAGTAATGATGATTACCTTGACGAGAGCCGTCTCTTAAGTACAAGTACTTCAAGTGAGGATAGCGGAATCATTTTTAAAGACGTTTATGCTCTCCAAGATAGGTAGTCATGAAGGTGCATCTTCCCTGAGGAAGGAACTTCGCATAACAGTAAACATTATATTAACAACGTACATTTGTTTAAGTAGGTAAAGAAATAGGTGTTAATTTATTGTGCGTACTGAATCTTTTGTCATAGCTTAAAAAACGTGTAACTTTCCCGTTATTGATTTTCAGACTCTGTTCTTACTTCTGCCTTTATCGAAGTTATAGTTTCTTCAAATGCCCAAGAATTAACTGTTGAACAGCAAAGAACGATAACGAAAGAATTAGAGCAGTTGGTTCATAAGTACCGAAGACACCAAGATCTTTCGTCATTGCCATTTGATAGTAGTGTAGCCCGCCTTACTAAGTATATCGAAAAGGCTTATGAAGTGGCCGTAATGATGGTAAAAACAGGATCTTTGATTATAACTGTGCAGTGCCCCACTCTGGAGAGTCTTGAAAGTCTGTGGAATGGTTACTGTTCTGGTTACCTTAATGACGTTGTTGAGAGTTTCCTGGTGACTGATGAACTGAAGAGAAAGCTGGGGTTGGACAATGTCAGGTTGAAGACAACTATAGAAGAAGAAAATTACTTAATTTGCAAGAAGGCGTTCATGGAAAACTCAGGTTAGTTGGAAAGTCTCGATAGAGCCTGTTTTGGGGAACATGTATTTTGGCTTGTCAGATGTGCCAAAAACAAATAGATCGCAAGTGGGTGAAATTGTTGGCTGGAACTTTTTTTACTCGCGGCCCGTAGGTTTGATAGTGCAATAACCCACAATCGGCGACAAAATGAGTTGAGACACTTCGCCCAAAAGTGGGCTTTTTTACGTTTTATGAACTTCAAAAGGAGGAAATATAGCTTTCCTCCCCCATCCCCTCCGTGCAATGTTGTGCCCTTGTTCTAGCTACCTATAGAAAACAACAAACACTCCAACTTTGAATAGAGGGGACAGGGGAGGGGTGCGGATTCTTTTGTTCTCCGAAGTCACCCTATTTAAGTACAATGTCTCAACAATTTTGTCGCCGATTGCAGCTAAATGTTACCGCCTTGGCTGTTCACAATAACAATTACGTAGGTGCTGAGATTTTTTCTACCAGGCCCTTGGCATGTCGTGCACTACTTTACTAGTAAATAAAGGGGGTATTCAGAGACTAATGGAGGTCAACAACAATCAGTACATGTCCCTAGTTGGCAGGATTAGGCTGCGTGCAAACGGACGCAACATTGTTGTCCACCAACTCCCAACATTGTTGGATGTTACATGTTGCACACCCTGTTGTATGTTCTTGGATGTTGTTGTGTGTTGTTGTGCAAAGTTTGAAACCGGTCAAACTTTTCAGCCGACAACTCCCAACATTTCTTTTGTTCCGTGATCGCCGAAGCGTAGCACAACAATGTTGGATCCATTTGCACAGCTCTTCCAACATTGTAGGGGCCACCCACGCTCATTACGCATGGTTTACAAAGACTTATGGGTTGTATCCTTCCCACGATGCACTGTAGGTCCCAACAATGTTGGGAGTTGTTGCATCCGTTTGCACACCACTGCCAACACGGACGCAACAACTCCCAACATTGTTGGCGCAACAATGTTGGGAGTTATTGCGTCCGTTTGCATGCAGCCTTAGGATTGCAGTGGAGGGAGCATCTTCTCAAAGTACTCGTCACTCGTGTTCTTGTTCCTGTTTCATCTGACTCAGCTGCACAGCTTATGTGGCGTGCACAACGGCCTTTCTTCCCACAGCTACAGAACTTTAGAAAGTAGAAATTTAAACATAAAGAATGACTAGAAAGAGCCGTATTGTTATTTATACCTGAGACAAATCGGAAGTGCCATCTGTCTGAGGCGGACATCGTGAATTAAACGATCATTAAAGCATTCCCCGAGGGTGTCCGCTCGAGTTCTACAGGCAGTTACAACTGGTATCTTGTTTTTGACATATTTTTACTAGGAGTAGCAAGTATCACCGAAACTTCATTTCAAACAGTTGATTCAGGTCAGGTAGAAGATACAAGGTGGAGTGAAGCAAGCTCAGATGTTGAGAAAGTAAGATTTTCTTTGGGAACTGGTGAAACGGGAAGATGTTATTAGGCAGTTATGTAATTAGAATTATATATAGGGTTTGCATCTCGTAATTTATGATAGTAAACTGAAGTGCAATTTTAGTTATTACTGATAAATAAGAAAAGGGTAAATGCGAAGGGTCGCCAGTTAGTTTTAAATTGGCTGGGATTGTACCAAGCGAATACCAAAAGTGACACAATACAGTTTTTATTTATTTATTTATTTATTTATTTATCTATTGTCATCACAGGACAAGATCAGGTCCGGACACGTATGGCCAGACTATTAAGATACATAGTGTAGTGTCCGTCGTTGTGTAATCAAACAATTAAAACACAAGTGCGATGTTGTTAGTGACTTGTAAGTAAATAATACTCGGCAGAGTGATACTGTGGGATCTCACGGGCTGAATTTAATGGCTATAATTTATTCATTCTTTCGTGAAACAGGAAAAGACGGGTCGAAAGATTCTCGTGCGCCGGCGTAATTCGCTTGCTCTTACTAGTTTATCTTGAGAGACCCTGAAGGGATTTTTTTCACTCCTAGTTAGTTTGAAGACTATTTCAACGTTTTCAAAATTAAGGCACAATCCAGCTATATCGAAACGTTGTTGGCATACTTTTAACGCTTCCAAAGTTATGATGTCATGAGATCATAACCTATGCAATTATTTTCGTTGTGTGTAGCGTAGAGTATATGCTACTCGCTACTGGTTTTTGTTTCATAAAAATTTCAAAAGCTATCTCGTTTACTCAATGGTACATCAAGTCACGTTCTACCAGCCAAATGCAACTAGTCTTTATTACATCCTGCAGATCGTCCCGTTGCCGAGTCCCGGTCGGAGACCTTCTAATTCTGGCTCAGAATCACCAAAAGAGCGCAAAGAAGAAAGCGAGGTAAGTTAAGAACGTTTGGGAAGGTTGTACTGTTTTAAACTATGTAACTGTTACCATGTGTTTGTTACAAAGAGTGTGCTTCTAGATTGGCTCGTACAAAGTCACGTGGAACTATTATTATGCCGTCACTGAAAACCATCTTGTCGGTAAAATTTGGTGAGAATATTTTACCTCTTGCATAAAGAAGATTAATATGCTTTTGACAATTAAATTGTTTAGTCTGCGGGGCACACCGATCTATGGATGATTTTATAAGGTAAAATTTTGCCTGTGCTACATCTTTAAAAATGCTTATATCTCGGCTTTTTTAGCGTCTATTTTGATGAAACTTTACAGAGACATTGAGGAATGATGGAAGTTTAAGGTGGTTGTTTTTTATTTGGTAGTTCGCACCTTAAGACAATGCTTTAAGCCACAGTGTTACACCAAATTGGGAAATCGTGATTTTGTGTCCAAGTTTGCGAAAAGAATAGAAGACAGCACTCTGAGATTTTATTAATAAATGATCAGTCAAACCCTCTAGTGTGTCATGTAGAGAGCAGGTTTTTCAATTTAAAGGTTGCTTGCAAGATATAATCGTTTAAATAAGCAAAATCTGTCATCCCTGAAATTAACGCCTTATATCTTTTTTTATATCTTCTATTAGCTCAATACATTTTTAAATTATTATTGACTGATTGAATACGAGCTACTTACACAACATGTACATTACCACATCTATATCAATAAAGAACTACTACAAATATACAAAAGATTCTACCTACATACAATGCTAATGCAACTATTACTACTATTACAAAAATAAGAAGCAAGATGTATTTTAAATTCCCACCACCACGGTAGAATAACTGAGATTTTTCCCATTTGCATTGCTAGTCGGCGACTGTGTATTTTGTGTCTTTCCTGACTGGTGAACATAACTGGCTTTATTTTAAAAATTGTGAAGGAAGGATAAGTGCATTTATAGCAAAACCAGGCTTAAGCAAATCCGTTTGTTTTGATTGGTTCTTTCTCGTCCGGATTTTGCAGTACGGACCGTTTCCAACGGTCAAAGCCGTGTATTTTTGTTTTGGAGCATTTTAATGCTCCAAAACATTTTAATGCTCCATTTTAATGCTCCTTTTAGCTTTTTCTGTGGCAATTTCAAAATTTGCAACCAAAACGGCGAAATAGAATGTGAATATTGTCATTCTTCATAGCGAAACTACCAGAAAAAGCTAAAAGGATTGAAATTTTAGTGAGATTTCAAAGATGGTTACGAAGAAGAACATTCTCCGAGAGAGGTCAGTAATATCCTGAACATCTGGAAACTGTTGATGCAGAAAATGAAAAAGGCATCGCCGAAAGCCAGGGGGCCAAAGACGATTTTATCAACCAACAGAAAAGTGCAAACACAAACAAGAAGACTTCTACTGATATGAACACTTTACTCCGCTACATCGAAGCTAATGGTATGAAAAATGAGAAAATTGAAAGCTTACCCGCGTCCGAGCTTAACCACTTCTTGTCGAAATTTGTTTGAACGCACGGAGGCAAAACGGAGGAGAATAAGAGCCGGCGACAGTTTCCAGTTTTCAGCCCAGTATAAGCTTACAGCGATACTTAGAAGAAATACCCATTTAACATCCTAAGGACAATGAGTTCGAAAAATTAAAAAAGTCCTTGTAGCGAAGCGAAAGTCGCTTGTTCTGACATGATCACGGCAAAGGAAACAAACCGCAAGCTGCTCAGGACATCGACGAAGACGAAGAGGATGCCCCTTTTTTTTAATTTTTAATTTGGCGACCCCAATCCAGTTGCGCTTGGAAGAACTGTGTGGTGGTTTTTATACAACACTTCGGTCTCCGAGCAAGAGAATATCAGTCAAGCGATCCGTTACTGTCTTCCACCGCTCCAGTTTTTACAGGTGCAAACTAAACATAGGATCCATCGGCAATTGCACATTCCAAATATTTCATGGTAATGTGGAAATTGTCCAGAATGAAAGCAAGCGTCGAATTGTTATCGATAGCGATGAGGACGATTGACTTTGAAGCTATGTTTGTCAACTATGTCCAGTTTCAAACTTAGACTTTCACTTGACACTGACTTGATCCATATTTCAATCAAGAAAGTATCGTTTGATCGACAAAAAACCGTTCCTCGAATTTTAGAATCAACAATTGCTTTTGTCAGATTCCGTTACAAAGCGTTTTTGAAGTTTTGTTTAAGCTAATTTAAGACGATTTCACAATCAATGAATTTGTTTTTCGAACTCGTGGTAGCTTGCTTTTGTCTGAGTTGCTCGCGTTATGAAGAATACGTCACGGAAGCCACCGGAAGTGCATTTTACTATCAGAAGCCGAGTGCCATATAATAAACAACTTACTAACCGAGCTTCCTCGAGCTGTACTGGGGAATATTGGCCCTCAGTCGTGGCAGTACGAACCGAGCGCAGCGAGGTCCGTAATGCCACGACTGAGGGCCAATATTCCCCAGTACGAATAACATGTGATTAATAAACAAGTAATATTTTTTCCTTTGCCAAAATCCAAAAGTATGACGCTGTTTGAAATGTCCCTTAAGGTGATTCCCTGGTTTTGCACTGCGCATCTCTTACTGCGCATAACAAGATGGCCGCCGTAAAAAAGAGCATGTGAAGTAACATTATCAAAATGAAGTTGACTGAAGAGAAACGCTATTGGAATTTTTGCTTGCGGTTGTTTCTTGCCGAGGTGAGACTCAATGTGTTGGGAATGTGCATAACGTAAGCAGTACGTGTATTGCTGAGTTTGACTTCCTCACGGAGAACGTTTAACTTGTGCTTACTCACTTTGATTTCCATTTAAACGCTTTCTTTATCACATTGTGTCCTAAATGTGATATCTCCATGTAAATTCTGTAAAGACGGATTTTTTAATACTTTCTTCCCCCTTTCTCACACATTCTATTTTGAAACTCGCCCCAGTCCTCTCTCGAAAATCGGAGAAAATGCATTTGGTGCGCACTTTCCGCAGCTCTACCGCAAAAACGAGTACGGTGACCCCCTTTTTTAAATTCATGATTTTAATAAGGACAGTGCTTCCTTTCGATGAGAAAAAAAATTGGCACAAATCTATGTTACCAAATTGTACGGATTGAGCTATCACGGGTCGAATAGCGCGTGTCCAATTTAATTCTACTTTGGAGCGTAAAGTAAAAACAAGGCATTAAATGGCATTTTTCTGGTACGTAAGTGGATAAACAATACACTAAAGTCAAATTCTCTGCGATACCACATGCATCATTGAAAAAATCTCTCCTTTTTGTCTAGTTTTGGGTTGCGCGCGGTTTTTGTCAAAGGGTCCTAAATAGCCGTATTTGTCAGCATTGTGAGGTCAAAACGAGCACGGTGACCCCCACTTTTTATTACATTTTTATCATCTTCTTGATTTGTTACATCAGTGTACCAAGTTTTATCTACAATCTATGTTAGGTTCTTTTACTGAGGAATCACCTTAAGATTATGTTCAGTTCATTAGATCAAGTAATGAAGTCCGACCAGAAACTGCTAGTAAAGGAACATATAATGAACAAGACGCTATCGAAGCGTACACTTAGGCGTCGTTGTTAGGGGGATTTTTTGGTGTGTCAGGTACGCGTAAGTGTCGTAGTGTTGTTAATTGGGTTAGTTGAGATGGGTTAAAAAGGAAACGAGGAGTCATGGTGTACGTTTCTTGGCAACGTTTCTTCATCGTTACAGCAAATCAAATTGTTGGTAAGTGAAGGAACCTGGAATATTTATAGGATCTAATAAAATGAGAAAGGGATGCCTGCGGATCGAAACGCACCAATGGATATCGCCCTTTAGAAAAAAACATTTTATTTCAGCTAAGGAGGGTCAGTAGAATAGAAACCTACATGAACGAATGTCTGGGATGCAAGAATATGTTTCAGTTCGCTACACGCGAAGTGCCTTGAATTCGGTGAAAATTAACAGACTACAATATTTTGAACAGTGAATCGCACTGATGTAGCATTTTCTGTCATTTGGGATCAATGCTGCTAATTTTGCCCAATATTCTAGCCGGAGTTTTGAAAACGGTACCAGCAAATGGACCTTTTGTGTCGAACAGTTTTTCCCGACCAAAAACTCTAAAGTAGCTATTATAAAAGCTAAAAGTGCAACAATTGCTTTTTCTCTTCGATCTCCTCCTTTCTTCCTCCTCGCTCTTTCTTTTTCTCCTTTCCTCTTTCTTTGTTAGTGTGATTTTGGAGCTTATTGGGCCCAAGAAACCTGCCTTTTGACGCCTTTTCACTCAAATTTCTTTAGATTGATTTCCAAGAAATCGGCTAGATATTAGTAAAAGTGAAAACAAATCTCTCAAGAAGAGGAAACGCCATTTATTCATTGGAATAGAATAGAAATAGAATGGTTTATTGAATACCTTACTAGAAGTAAGGACTGAATTGCTAAGGTTTACAATTTATAGAAAAACGTTATGAAATATGATTACAAAAATGCTTATACCTGGATTTTTGAAAACCGGGTTAGTAAATAAATCAACTCATTCTACTACTTGGCAATTTAAAGGCCCATTAAAAATCTTTATTATTCATTCAAAATATTTCCCCGATTCTGATTGGCTAAAAGCACACGCGTAATTCACCATAACCAGCTACTGATGACCAAATTTGGAAGAATTCTGCGATTAATCAACCGATGACGTCAAAAGTGCAGCTTCCTTGCAGGTTAATGCAGCCTTAACCGAGAAGACCTGGGGACGAGGTTGAGTTGTTTTGGTTGTGAAAACAACAATGGCGAACATTTCATTCGTTTCAAGAGTAAGAACTGGGCGAAATAATAGCTGAAAACATGGCAAAAACAGCAAGAAGAGAGCTCGAAGGGCGACATATGCTATTTGAAGAATATTTGCGGAGCTGAGCAACCCTAAACGTGCACTAAGAAGATGAACTTAACATCGATGGAGGTAAGCATGTTTTAGCTATGTTTTTAAACTAGGAATTGTTTTGAAAGAATAATAAAACAATTATTGAATTCGGCTTTCGTATCATATGAAGAATTATGGAGATCTCAGAGGGTGTTATCCGCCTAGGGCCTACGGCCTCGACGGATAACACCCTCTCGATCTCCATAATTCTTCATAAGATACTCAGCCTCTTCATTAATTGTTTTAAAATTATCTGACGCCGGGCAATAAGTTAATGGTCCCTAGAAACATTTCAACAAGTCAAAATTAAAAAAAAAAAATTTAAAACATTTATTCGGTAATCTGACTCCGTGAAGTTTCAAACCGGTGTCATTTCAGTCTAGAAAATTTTAATTTGAGTGAAATGCAGCCAAAAAGTGCCTTGTTAAGGCTTACATGACAACTTAAATAGTTAGCAAAAAACTTTTTTTCGCAGACCGATAAATGACAGGATTCCGCATGGAAAAGACAACAAACTGATAATCACCCTCTTGTCTGGAAAAACCGGCCTATGGTTCAATGCCAAGAGCGCACTGAAACTACTGGACTACATCCAATTTTCCTGAGTCGAGAATTGGTTTTCCAAGGCACAATCAGCTAAGCTAAACACAGACGAAACGTTTTTGTGGCTGGCACAGAATATTTTGGTGCAATAGCTCTTCGATGACTTCGCCAGAAGTAAAAGCAAAAATCACCACCAGCGATGTAAATAAACTTAGCATTGAGGACATTCACTGCAAGTTTTGCGAACTGTAAGCTTATCTCCATGCGCTCCCTCTTCAAGCGAAGATTTCTTTCAGATTCAAGATCTGTTGATTGTCTGATCTTTCTTCCATATGCTAGCAAAAGATCCAAGTTTAATTTTCCGCCACTGATTTCCGTTGAAAGCCCCCGTGAATGCTATTGCCTCACTCTTCGAAGTTATTAAACCGAGAAAACAGCGAAACTGTCAGCTGGAAACAAACCTATTCCTCGAATCTCTCATTCAGTTGGTCAGACTCGCGAGCAGCTCAATTCTATCGACTGAAGTGGTTGCTGTACACATACGGAGCCTAATGTAGTAAGATCGAAAGAGTTTTCCTAAACAAGAACGCATCGAAGTGGGAGGAAAGGGAACATTGTTTGAGCAGGGTTCTTTCAAGAAATGTGTCATGCTGCGTGTACTGAGTTAAGGAAATGAAAAACGTCACAAAGCAATTGTCTTGTGTTCTTGGTATATTAATCAGGCCACAGGAACATAGCGTTGTAATGGCGGAAGAAAATTAATGGTTTTTGAGCGCAAGAAAAGACCACTTTACTTAATTTTGTATGAAGCTATAATTTGCACACCGTGTACTTCAAGTACTAAACTGCCGATCTAGCGAAAAAAAATGGTAGTCAAGGACTTGATCGTAGTAGCACTTTAATGTTCTTGCTTATGTTGGGCCAGAACAAACCCTCTCTTGCCCTGCTGAGACATTTTTCCACCCCTAGGTGACTGCCATGAATTTTCTCAAGCATTTCATCTCGTAAACTATATGGAGTGATAAGACGATCAACTTTCATTAACAGTCCATCGCTAATACACAGTTCATCTCTAAAGTTCCAGTAACCTTGTAATTCTGGCTCCACTTCTGACCTGTTCTCAGGCCAGCCTGTTAAAATCACTTTCTTCAGTTTCGGTAACACTGGATCACTGCCCGTTTCTCTCTTAAACTCATCAGCCTTTTCTTTTGAAATTTGTACAAGCAAGTGGACGTCAAACTCATCTGCCTGTGATGTAGACTCCAACTGACTAGCACAGCTAAGAGTACTGCAATGTGCAATTGGTCACCAGGTCTGTACTTGACTATCAGGTCGTACCGTTGTACACGAAGCATCATTCGCTGAATGCACTGTGGGGCCATACACAATGGCTTCTTGAACAAACTCTCTAGAGGTTTGTGGTCACTTTCTACCAAACCTGTACTGTGCTGTACTGTACCGGTGCCAAAGACAGCAGCCAACATTTCCTTTTCTATTTGAGCATAATTTCGCTCGGCACTGTTCAGTGATTTTGATGCTTAGACTACTGGTTGGTCCCCTTGCAGCAAACAGGTAGCCAGACCATGCATAACATAACAGCTATTTTCTCCATAAACATTTCGTATCCTTCTCATTCGTCAGGGTTGCGGCCACGTTCCAATATGTCTCTTACTCAAGCCCTGAGCGGCTCACTAGGATAATTAAGAGTTGCTCTAAGTTAAGCTCAAAGGGTCTCACAGACTACTCAGCGTGTCTCTAAGTTTAAGTATATGTCGATGTGAACAACTCTAATGACTCACCACAATGTTGATGTGAACAACTCTAATGACTCACGACAATGTTGCTTAAAATTAACACCTTTTTATTAAACGTAGTTAATGTGCGTGTTGTTCTTTCGGCGTCCAATATAATGCTTTCAGCTCTCTTCTACATTCGCAAGACTCTTTCTTGCAATTCCTTACTGCAAGATGACCAGATTGGACTGAGGTCCAACATAACTGGCTTTATAACAGCAAGATAGAAAATTAACTTGTGCCTTTGCTTGAGATAAGGACTACTATGCCTCAGAAGCCCAAGTCGTTTTGACAGCTTCTTACATAATTCATCTATGTGTGTTTCAAAGCTAAGATCTTTATCAACGGATCAAACCCAAAAGGTTGAGTTTGATCGTCCGGGTGAACGTAGTCCTGAATAGGACTGTTGTTGTTGATAGTGACTGACGTTTCGACAACTTGTGTGGTAGTCATCTTCAGAGTCAAAGTGAGTTGTATTACGTCAGTTGATGGTATTATGCTCTGGTTATTGATCTGATTGGTCAATTATGTCGCGATGTTATTGGTCGTCTGTCAGTTAAGCCGTGATGTTATTGGCTATGAAGACTCGTAATCAGTGATTGGTGCGTTTCGATCCGTCTATTGTCACAGTTAAACAGTCAAACCCAGTTACTTGTGATGCGATAATTGGTCGATATTTGTGGCGTCAAGGCGTAGTTGTAAGATTGCGGTATATAATTCATCGTGGAAAGCCACAAGTGCACCGGTAGTATACACTTTGTGTAATATATAGTATTCTGTCTTCTCCCTAATAGCTAGTGGTAGTAACTAGTAGTTACTCGTAGTTACTAGTATTTACTGGGAGTTACTAGTAGTTGCTGGTGGTTACTAGTAGTTGTCGGTAGTTACTAGTAGTTATTGGTAGCTACTTTACTAGTAGTTACTGGTAGTTACTATTAGTTGTTGGTAGTTACTGGTAGTTACTAGTAGTTGTCGGTAGTTACTAGTAGTTGTCGGTAGTTACTAGTAGTTACTGGTAGTTGCTAGTACTAGAGTTATCCGTAGTTAAAAGTAGTTACTGGTAGTTTCTGGTAGTTGTCGGTAGTTACTAGTAGTTGCTTACAATTATTGCTAGTTACTAGTAGTTATCGGTATTTACTGGTAGTTACTAGTAGTTGCTGGTGGTTACTGGTAGTTGTCGGTAGTTACTAGTAGTTACTAGTAGTTGCTGGTGGTTACTAGTAGTTACTTGTAGTTATCGGTAACTATTAGTAGTTTCTGATGGTTACTAGTAGTTGCGGGTAGTTACTGGTAGTTGTCGGTAGTTACTAATAGTTAATTGTAGTTATTGGTAGCTACTAGTAGTTGCTGGTAGTTACTAGTAGTTCTCGGTAGTTACTAGTAGTTACTTGTAGTTATTGGTAGTTACTAGTAGTTACTGGTAGTTATTAGTAGTTATCGGTAGTTACTAGTACTTATGGGTAGCTAGCAGTAGTTGTCGGTAGTTACTGGTAGTTGTGGGAAGTTACAAGTAGTTACTAGTAGTTGTCGGCAGTTACTTGTAGTTATTGGTAGTTACTAGTACTTACTACTAGTTACTGGTAGTTGTCAGTAATTACTGGTAGTTAATTGTAGTTATTGGTAGTGATTTCTTATATTATGTGCATCGTTTTCAACATTCTTCAACTACCGACAACTACTAGTAACTACCAACCACTACCAGTAACTACTAGTACCTACCGACAACTACTTGTAACTACCAGTAACTACCGACAACTACCACCAACTACTAGTAACTGCTATTAACTACCGAGAACTATTAGTAATTAACATTAACTACCGACAACTACTAGTAACTACTGACAGCTACCAGTAAGTGCCTGTAATTACCACTAACTACTGGTAACTACCGGCAACTACCAGTAACTACCACCAACCATTAGTAACTACTAGTAACTACCAGCAACTACTAGGAAATACCAATAACTACTAGCAACTAGCAGTAACTACCGACAACTACTAGTATATGTACTGATAATTACTAGTAATTATCAGTAGCTACCGACAACTACTAGTAACTACCAATAACTACTTGTAACTACCAGTAACTACCGACAACTACTGGTAACTACCAATAACTATC